CTTGTCTGTTGATATATAATAAAATAAACTCATTTACAAAAAAAAAATGACATTCAGGTTGTTTTGTATATATTTTTTTATAAACAATAAAAACTCTGAACTGGAGGAAGAGAGTTACGTACTGTTAGTTATGCCATGGAGAGGTTGTCTGTTACATATAAACTCTGAACTCATACTGGTGATCTGAGTAACGCTGTATGTTTAAAAAAAGAAGGAATCAAGACCACTAATGATTAGTAAATGAGTTAACCCAAGTAATAAACTGACCTGCCAATTGTGGACGCAGATAATAGAGAAAGATTTTCTACCAAAAAAAAATTTACAAAGTCCATTATATAAGAACACAACTAATCAAAGTTTATGGAAGATTGCTTCTCTACATACCATTAAAAGGAAATAATTTAATAATGTGTGGAGGGGAGGAATTAGATACGATTTTATAATAATCATAATTGTGTGTTATATTACGCTAAGAAACAACGTTAAAAAACTTGTTGACAAAAGAAACAACGAAACAGACCATTTGTAATATTACGTAGCCGTTGTTTGTTGCAACTTATGTCATTCCTTATGTTGCCTACCTCAGAAATACTACATACTTAAAAAAGGAACAATAACAAAATTAACTAAATTGTGTTGAGATTAATATACAAAATCCATTAACGGTAATGATTAATATGACGAATTAAAATTACCTGCCAATGGGGCAGGGAGAAGACCCCAAAAGATTTTCTACACAGCAATGATTTCAATGAATTAGATATTCCAATGACAATTAACTGTCAAACGCAAGAACATAAATCGGCGTTACCAATCAACTGATTCGATTCAATGCGACCTTGGTTCCTTCTTTTCCTCGAAGAAGTTTCAAATTCAATTTTGTCGTTAGACATGACGGTATTGAAACGTTATATACCTGCGTATGAGATGCTTCACAACGTACAGGACATCCCAAGCTTGATTAACTCGCTCACTGTTGCAAGAAGAGGATGCTGAAACCACAGTTCAGCTGAGTGTCGGCAGTGGGAATATGAAGAGACAATCTTATGAGTTAACATATGAAGAAAAAACATTATACGTTAAAAAATGAAAAGACAACTCCTATCTTGGCGGGAAGCGTTAAATGGGGTTCTTTATTTTGCTGTGACACATAAATATTTTAATACAATTGGGAATGCTGATTCCTTGGCGGCACTGGTTTTGTTTTTTGGTGTCAAAACCGATGGGCAATAATTTACTCCCCACTTGAGGAAGCTTACTCGATGACAAAGAAGTTTCTTGATGCATGACCTTTGGCATTCAAGAATGAGTATAGTGTATATGATCCTTTTTCTTCTAAAACCTTCACTCACAGCGTCAATGAACAAAGAATGAAGCACATGGGAGTCATTTATGGCAATGCTATATCACAATCCAATACTCCTTCATTGGTCTGTTGCAACGCAGATTACACAATCGACTTATATAATTAAAAGACTTTTTGAACCAAAATAGGAAACCAACCAAAACATTTTTTAAACCAACAAACAGTCATACTAAGTCATATTTGTAATGCGTCCATAATCACAAAGTTAACACAGATGAAAATTTGGATTAGTTATTATAATTGATGTAAGTAATTAAAAAAATCCCCAACAGTTTGGGTAGTTTCAAATTAATGCTGGATTCAATTATTTATTATCAAGGTGCATTCCAATAGCCAAAGACTCGAAATTCAATTATATACAGGGCAAAAACATTCTCTGCTAATATGAGTCTTATTGTTCCAATGCATAAGCTCTTGTCCATTATTTACTCTATAAACGAAATCGCATGTTGGGGATAGTGGGAAGTTGAAAACGGTGACTGTTGAGAAGTGTGTTGAGTAAAATATCGCAACCCTAAACACACAAATAACTATATTTTTTTTATAACCATCAGTTTAAGTTGGGCCTGCCTTTTATTTCAAAACCAAATATTGTATAATTTTTTCAATTCTTCACATTCAGATTAATCATCCTCTGCAGACATGACACTAAATGAAATAAACTGTACAGTATATGAAAAAACACAAACCAAAAGAAGAAAACAGTAACATTCATTAAGTTAAAATTGCACATCACATAATAACAAAACATTGAAAGATAAGAAACTACTAAATGCAACACATAAAATAACTAAAACAGATATAAAAAAGCCTAAACCAACACCACCAGAAACTAAATTAGACTATAGTCATTATACAAAATAAGTAGATCTCAAAATCTGCCTTGCAACTTTGACAGATCTTATTCCCAAGCATGTTATTAATCTCATGGTTCTCCGATGAGGAAGGGTCATCCTCAGTTAATCGCGTTTCACATATGCGGGGATTGCAAATGGGTATTCCGTGATAAAACCATCTCCCTACGCACCCATAAGGACCTGATTAAAAGTCTAACACGTCATCTGCAGTGCCTCAAAAGGCACTCATTATCCAGCGCGCGAAAAAATTCAAAGCCCACAGACCTCTCATCTTCATCAAGACTAGCCATCAATATGATGGAACATGCGTACTTGGCATCTTGGTGACCTTTCAGCGCTGCAGTCCTAATGCCTTCAAGAGCCACCGCTTGCATTTCTGAACTCAATGTTTCTCGAAAGTAATTGACCAAGCCCTCACGATACAATACTTCAGGATTGACACTCTCCCTACAACGCTGCAAAAATTGAACTTGTCGTCTTCTTTTGGCTACTTGCAGTGGGTCGTAGTACACGTCACCTTGTTCTTCACTGCCCATGACCCTAACTCGGTGAAGAAAAGGCTTCGCATTTTTAACCCACTCCAATGGTCCCAGCGCAAAATTATCCAACGAAACACGCTCGTAAACATGATTTGATTCGGCAAGTTAAAGAAAATCGGTGCAAGCAAACTTGACGTTAGTGATGTCCTCAATTGAATGAGATGCCACATTTCCAAAGATCAGCAGCAACACATCTGACGACAGATGTTTCAGAGACTGAACACCGGTGATCTCCATTTTCATGCGCTTATGTGATGATGAACCAGCCATAGAACAATCTTAGGATGAACAATGTTGGATGAAAATTACACGGAAGATAAGATGAATATAAAAATACAGAAACCTCATTATATATAATGACGTAGAACGATACATAGCCAAACGATTAATCTCGACGATTCAGCTGCTCATCTTTGTATGACGCACTGATTTAAATGGTCTGGAACTCATTGGCTGAACACGTTAACTGGAATATGGAACGTCGTCGATTAGATGCAGCCTGCAACGTTTTGATGAGAGATGGTCCCAAATTAAGCTTTTAATTGTTTAATTATGCTAATCGATTTCCAAAACAATTTTTCTTCAAATTTCAAAACGGTCATTAAACCTGAGATGGTCATTATATCCTACGTTGATTAAATAGCATATTAGGTGCAGCATTTTGATGACAGATGAGGATAGAATACACCGTTGTTCCAAATTCCAATTTAAATTTAAAAAGAAACAATGTAGAAAAAAAAGAAACAGAAAGAAATAACCTGTTAAGATTTTGTTGACATATAAATTTCCAAAACGATATGATATCAGTTGTTAAGATATGTTATTGGAATTATTCAAATTGTCAGATTATAATTTTTGTTTTATCAGTCCTTGCTTGAGTAAAATCGAAATTGTAAAATTAATCCTTTAAAAGACAAACCAAAACATAATCAAAGATTGGAATAATCATTTGATTATTAACATTTATTGCACAACATATATATATATATATATATATATATATATATATATATATATATTAGTTGTCAATGGAACAAAAGACATTGCAAATAAAAAAGACATTTTTTGAATAAAGGATAATAAAAATTCAAACTTTAAATTTTAAAAATAAGAAACATAAATTTGAATTAAAACTACTTATTTTGTTAGATTGAAATCGTATCCTAATCTGTTTTTAGTAGTTATAAACGTTATTTTATTTTTGGATAAAAAAGACATTTTTTGAATTCCAATGATCAAAGGTTAATAAAAATTCAAACTTTAAATTTTAAAAATAAGAAACAAAAATTTGAATTAAAACTACTTATTTTGTTAGATTGAAATTGTATCCTAATATGTTTTTAGTAGTTATAAATGTTTTTTTTTTGGATCAAAAAGACATTTTTTGAATTGCAATAAACAAAGGTTAATAAAAATTCAAACTTTAAATTTTAAAAATAAGAAACAAAAATTTGAATTAAAACTACTTATTTTAACAATAATGATTTGAAAATTTAATAAATGTCAAGATGTCAAGAAGATGTGTTTATTTGAAAAAAAAGGAAATCTTTGTATTCCAACACAGCAACACATCACATAACATGACATAGATCAACAGCTTAGGTTTCCATTGCAAAAAAACAGCGTTTATCAAATATATCAATATACATTCCATAAGCGTTATCATTGCCTGAACTAAACACAACAAAACATCGCAAAACATTTTGAATATTTAATAAATGTCACGTTAGAAAAAACGATTCAAACATTTCAAGATGTAACTCCAACAAAAAAAACGTGAATTCAACATTTCTGTAAACATCTTGTCTCCAAGACAAAAAAACACCACTCTTCAGTTACAGTAGCCCAATCTACGGGGTATTCTCATATGCTTCTGCGTCAAATCTATTTAAAAAAACAGGAAGAAAAAATTTGATGATCACCATTTAAAAAAATATAAAAGCAAATGACGTAGTTTGCACATTATATTATGAAAAGAAAAAGAATATACATGCCACACGATTGAATTATAAATATCAATTTGAAAATACGTAACTCTTTTTCAAGCTTTATTTTTTTGGCTGTCCGAACAACTGAACAATTGAATTCTCCAGCAATGGAATCATGAGAATGGATCACTAGTGTCAACATTGTCAGAGAGATATCACCAACGTCAACACTATCACAGGTCTGACTCTCAACATCCTCTTCATTATTTCATAAAAAAAAAGTACGTCAAGTATCGACTTTTGCATAACATCAATATAAATTCAAATAATGGGTTACCGCAACCTTTTCTAGTTCTGACGATACAATTTCATTTTCGCATGCATCCTCAAAATTTTCTTCATCCTGTGATATACAATAACCAACAACAGTCAACAAAATGAATAAGAAAAATGGATACCCAACAGAAATAGAGAAGCAGCATACATTTGGATCGACTTCAAAGATAAGAGACTTAATGAACGCTGAGATTATGTCTTTGCTGATAAAATTTTTAGAAACACTATACTTGGGCTCGCTGTATGAGTTCAAATCCTTTTGCTTGATATTTAGCTTGAACAGCATCGACTTCTCATTCAGAACATTTAACTCTTCTGGAAATTGATCCAAATCCGCACCCTACAGGAAAAAAAAGGATCATCCATTAAACAGGGGAAAAAAATAACAACTATAGCGCGAACATAGTGCACTCTATGTCAAAATATACATTTTCAATATTTCATAGCAATGATAATACAAACCCTCTTGAAATGCAGCTCGCGCAATTCACCAGCACTCATCCCCAACAAAGACACACAGTCGCGATCAAACAGAAGAAATGATTCGGAATCCGTGTTATCCACAACTCTTACCTGAACACTAAATCTATCGTTTTGCAAAATTGTATATCAGAAAAAAATATTAAGCTTACAGATTAAAGACAATTTAAAAACCAAGAACAATATATTACCTCGGATAATAATCTTCCCAATGTTTTTGGCAGTTCTTACAGTACCACTTCTCAAAATGCTCACAAACAAAAAATGGACATTTTTTGCAAGACTTGTACCACCAGTTGTATTTGCTCTCAATAGATTTTATAGTCTCATACGTGATGCAAGTCGTAACCTTAAATATAGCAATCGCAGGCAAACAATTCACATCATTCATACAGACTTGATATTATTCAAGAAAAGCAAAAAAACAAAAAATCGATATTTACCTCGCCACAAAGCTTCACATCACTGATAGACTTCTTTTCAGTCTCCTTCAGAAAATCATTTTCGTAAGAATAGGAGGACTGAGTAGACAGCTGAGTCATCCTCATACTACTTTCCACACCATCAGCCGAAAGACTATAAAGAGAAAATTCATAATACCATAAATGATTAACCGAATAAATTCTCAAATGAGTTCAAGAATAACAAACACACCGTTTTTTGAACTCAACGATCTCTGGCATCTTCGAATCCATGACAATCCTCGTTGTATTTTTTGTATTTGTTATCCCAATCTTACCTATCGAGTTGAGTATATCAAATAAAAATTGAAAAGCCAAAAATAAAAAACATGAATGAAACAAAACACAGAAGCATAACGTTTTGACAAAAAAATTGTTAAAATCATACCCCTAAAACATTTTATCCTGCCTAGCTGGACTATCATGACGTTATGAGGAGTGTCGCTGTTTTCCATAAAAGATTGGACCTCATCCACATAATGCTCCCACAAAGTGCACTCTAGCTTGTGACCCCTTCATATGAGTTGCAGCAAGAACAACAGTAATACACGAAAAATATAAGCTAACAGAGCTTGGCAATTTTATTTTTTTTAAATCTACAATTTTAAATACCTCAGGTTGTCAAGCTCCAACACAACCATTTTTCGTCTTCCTACCAGACACCACACGTTCACAAACTTCACCAATTCCTGAGATTAAACCAATGACGTCTACAAAAAAAAAGAGGGCAGCAAAGAGTTCGTAAAAAAAATGCAAAAATTAAAAAATGAAAAACATTCAGGAAAATTATATTACCCACTAAATAAGGAGAGTTAGATGTTTCTTTCTCAATGATGTCATAATCAACAAAATCAAATTCACTCGCAGAAATATTAGAATCAACAATTGATTTAAGACCAGTCCTCAAATTGAAAGACAAACGATACTGATGCTTGGTTGGCCTAAACACATCGCTATTGAATCCAACTCCAATTTTTTTTATAAAATAACACTCTCCTTCATGGATTTTCTTCCGCACCGGCAAAGAACCTTTGACAGTGGCGTGGATCCTACCACCCCTACAAAAGAACGCAGCCAACTCACAAAAGATGGAAGATTTAAAAAACGCAAAGAACCAAGATTTAAAAAACGCAGACAACTACCTGTTCATCCAATAAAACCATTTCAACATTGTCGTCAAAATCTCTACGTTGAAAGTTAGGAACTTTCCAAGCCAGAACCACCTTCACCTTAATCCTCCAGTCCTCCTTGGCAGGATTGACATCCTTTAGAAAATCATATTTTGAAAACATATTGGTAAAACGATCAAAGAGAGAACGAAGAAGCTGATTCCTTGAGGCTGTATGTTTTAACTGATATGCGTCAGAGGCAAAAAAAGGAAAAATGAACAGGAGCAACAAAATCGCTCCCAAGCAATCGCATAGAACAATGTGAAGCAGATGTATTTTTTAAAATGTTTTGTAATTCCAATGGAGAAAGTAGCTCAACATTAAATGAGTTGTCAGATTTCAAAAATGAAATTTAAATTTTCAACTCCAAAATTCAAATTTAAATGAGTTGTCTGCCACTACAATTTATGACAAATCTGTACCATTGGTTTGAGTTATGAAATCTTGTCCATCGATTTTTGTTCAAAATTAGATTTTCTTTTATATTTTTTTATTCACTAATTTACCAAAGATTGAAAGTTTTTAAATTTTTGTAGTGTGAATGCAAAGTTGAAATTGAAGGAGGAAGTGACATGTCAGCGGACTTGCCAAAGAATGGGTTTGTGTTAGAATATAAGATATGTTATTTTACTTACCATTTTTTTGTCTACTTTTTCTTACCACTCTCCAATATTGTTATATCAGAATCTTAAGAAGAGAGAGAAAGATAAATGTTAGTTAAAATTCTAATGTAACAGTATTGGAAAGTGGTAGGCAATGGTAGGTAGAATAACTTATCCCTTATTAGATTATTTAAACCTCTCATGTCTTCAATGTTTATTAAGAATTAAAAAATAAATAAATAAATTATAATTATATTATTAATTAAAATTATTTAATTAATTAATTAATTTAATTTAATTAAAATAAATAATACAGTATGTACCAATCCATAAACTTATATATCAGACCTTATAAAAATATATGTATAGCCAGATTTCTAAACAATTTTTTTTAAAGCTTTGATCATATTCTATTTTAATTAATATATTAAGTTAGGTTCAACCTATTAGGTCGTCTTCTTCATTTACAGCTCTACATATAATACTTCCTTAATGTAAGCTCTTCACACCCAATCATATAAGTTGTCATTCTTTCCCTCTTTTACCCTTTTTTCATATATATTTTTTAAAGGGTTTGTAACTATAGTTGTTTTCTTGAATGAGTTATTAGGTCAGGCAGCTACCTCACCTCTTCATCTATATATATATATGTGTGTGTGTGTGTGAGAGAGAGAGAGAGAGACAAGATGAACTTACACCAGTGTAAGAGTGATAAATCTTAACCGTTGATTTCCGTCCATCAAACAATTGTAATTAATTATATTATTCTCATTAATTAATTATTAATTATATCCGTTGGATATGTGAAAATAAACGGTTAAGATTGAGTGTGAGTTGTTACTCTTACACCGGTGTAAAAAGATCCCATCCCCATATATATATATATATATATATATATAATAAAATTATTTCTGCAGCCGTTTTACGTACAGTAACGACAGGTGTATGGTTATGATTCCTCACATTTAATGATTTCAACCTTTGTATGGTTATCATTCCCCGCATTTAATTCTTTCAAGTATATATATGGCAAGTATTGGATTGTTGCACATGCAGCAGCTGCAGAAATGTAAATCCATATATATATATATATATATATATATATATATATATATATATATGTAAATGAGTTAGGTGATTTGTTAAGAGTCTACGATCTGGCCTGTTTTTGATTGATCCATTTTAAAAATAATATAGGCCTGAGTTCATTAAAAGACATTTTTAGAAATCAGGCCACGAGCCTATTTAAGAAGGTTTGATCTCTAAGGCTTTGTTTGGGACTTGGTTTTAGGAGGGGAAGGAAAGGAAAGGGAGGGTTTTAGTAAGCTCTTCCCTTGTTTGTGAGTTTAAAAAAATGAGGGGAAGAAATTGGGGACTTTTACTAAACCCTCTAAAACTCTCATTCTTCGTAAAATTAAAGTTATCCCAGTTTGAGGGATTTGAGTGGGGAAATATTAAAAATTACTTATCTACCCTTAGCATTAAAATGTGAAAACTACATAAATGTGAATCGTTTTTAAATGTGACATTATTAGAAAAGTATCAAATATCGACAGAATTTATTGACAAAAAATATTTTCGTCATAACTAAAGACGAAATTAGAGACGGACCTGGATTTTGCCATAATGACCGACATAAATTTTTTGCGGAAAAAAAAAATTCAGTCAAAATTATTCGTAGAATATAAATTCCGTCGAAACTTTCAATGAAAATATTTCCGTCCAAAATTTTGACAAACACATTTCAAACGAAAATTTTTGACGTAAACCAATGACGTCAAATTGTTTTATGGAAAACATTTACATCAAATTTTTTCGACGAAAAATCTTTCCATCAAAATTTGTGACTAAACATTTCTATAAAAAAGTTTTGACTAAAATTTTTTTTTTGTCAAAATTCTTTACGGAATCTAAATTTCGTCAAAACATTTTCCTCAAAATATTTCACAAAAAACATATTCATCAAAATTTTCAATGAAACACATTTCCATAAAAAAAAAAAATTGACGGAAAATATTTCATCAAAATTCTTTACAGAATTTAAATTTCGTTGAAAGTTTTTGATGTAAATATTTTCGTGAAATTTTTTGACAAAAAAAAATTTTCGTCAAAATTTTTAACGAAACACATTTCCATCGAAAATTTTCAACGAAAAATATTTCCGTCAAGTTTTTTGATAAAAAACTTTTCCATCAAAATTTTCAACAAAACATATTTCTGTCAAAAAAGTTCGACAGAAAATATTTCTGTACAAATTTTTGACAAAAAATATTTCGATAAAAAAATTTCACGGAAAAATATTCTGTCAAAATTCTTTACAAAATCAAAATTTCATCGAATGTTTCAAATGAAACGTTTCCCTCAAAAAATTTGACAAAACAATTTCTGTCAGAAATTTTGTCGAAACACATTTCCATCGAAATTTTGAACGGAAAACATTAAGTCAAAATTTTTTACGGAATTCTTTTTTCGTTTAAAACATTTGATGTAGGAAATCATTTTCGTCAAAACTTTTGACGGAAACTAAATTTCGTCGAAAATTTCGATAGAAAATTTATTTTTGTAAAAAATTTCATCGAAGAAAATTTTTTGTCGCTTTTCGATAAAAAATATTTCGACCAAAGAATAATTTTGTGACAAAATTTTCGTCATTTGCAACGTAGAAATTTTGTCAAAAATATGATCTATTTTAGTATATGAAAAGTACATAAATAATTTTGTTAGAAATTTTAAATTTAATTTAATTTATAAAATACAATAATTTTATTAATTTTAAAAATGGGATAAAATGGTAAAAATATCTCATTAACCCTCTATTTTTCTCTTTTACCATTTTTTTAACTCACAAACAAGGGAAGGGAATACCCTTCAATTTCCTTCCCCTCCCTCCCCCTTGGATCCCCTTCCTTCCCTTTGTTTGAGAGTTTGGAGGGGAAGAGAGTAAACACCCTATCTTACTCTTCCCGGGTCACATAGTCAGTTACGGCTGCTGCTGGGGCTCGGTATTGTCGCAGCTCATCCCATTGTTTCTTCAATTGATCGAGATAATCAGTGAATGATTGTGAAGGTAGTTGATGAGTCGTGTGAATTTCCAGTTGAAGCTCAAAGTTACGAGAGACATTATTCTCATGCCCAAAGTGTTCTGCAACTGATTCCCAAAGATCCTTGGCAGTGTCTGTACACCCCGTATATATCCGGTAATGTTATCATACTATCGTATTAAGCAGCGCTTAATTAAAATTGCAGAATGTCTTTTTCTTTTCAATTATGATGCCATTATCATTACCAACTTGCTTATTAATCAATTAATAAAACATCGCCTGTATGTAATTGCAATAAAACAGCTATCTGAAATACCTCATAACATAGATAATAAAAGTGTGGCTCTAGTCACGGAACTACAACAACGTAGACCAGACCATCTAACAGTTTATACAACTCCAATCTAAAAGTACTAACATAAAGTGTCATGGACAATCCCCATGCTCACTCAAATAAGGCAACACGCCCAACATCAGTCTCAACAACAACATAATCATAAATAGCGAAAAACATAAACAACATCCAAATCCAGTCATGGCAGCAATACAACATAATATCATCAACTAAGCTCTGGCCTCCTGCCGCCAGAGGCATCAGTCACCAAACTACCGGAACCTGAAATAAGCATTCCCCAAACGTGGGGTGAGATCTCTAAACAAGAAATCTCAGTAAGACAAGGGGTCCTCAAGGATCTTCCACCCCAAGCTCACTTACATGTGCAATATAAGTTCAAAAGCAGTTTATCATCATCAGTTCCAAAATAGTGCAATGCAGCAGATAATCATGTCATGTGTGTCAATTCTATTCTACTGGCCAGAGAAATGCAGGATTTACGTACGCCAAATACCCACATTAGTGCAAGACGCTACTTGCATTCACCCCGGATCACCATCTCGTATGACGCCACATACTCAGGTTTACCGTCAAGATGAAACAACACATGCATATTAAAAGCCATTACACATAAAGCTCAACAGCATTTCAAATATTCAAGCATGTAACACAGCATGCATAAACCACACCCCCAATGGGACATGGTGGAACCACAACATGGCTAAACCGAGGGCATGAAAGCTTACCTTGCAAGCTAACACCCAAAGCCAAGAGTCCACAGCTCAAAGTCCAAACACAACATATAACTTAAAGACAACGCCTTTCCTTTACGTTTTACGTCCTAAGGCTCCATACCAAGCCATAAGCCCTTAATCACTACGATTCTGACTTAGTTCATTAATTACAGAAGTTCAACTTCATCAATCTAGGGTCCACAAACCCCCAATAGCCTACTATACCCACAACACAGCTACTGTTCTACGAAATCCCAGAATATCCGGATATTCCTCGGGACCATATCCGGATATGCAATATCCGGATATTTCACTGTACATATCCGGATATACAATATCCGGATATCCAGATTCCCATATCCGGATATCCAATATCCGGATGTCCAAATCCCATATCCAAATATCACATATC